GAGCGTCGTTGAAGGCTTTGAGGTGGGGAATTGGACCTTCCAACTGATTGTAGGATATGTCAACATTTGTTAAGCTCTGCAAATTGTCAAAAGTATCTGGAATTCGACCAAAGAGATTATTGTGAGAAAGATTCAAAACTTCTAAATATTGTAGTTCCCCAAGATCGGAGGGAATCTTTCCTGTGAGCAGGTTCTGGCTCAAATCAAGTTTTCTGATATTTTTTATTGTGCTTATTTCAAACGGAATATTTTCCCCAATCTTATTATCGCTCAAGTTCAAGTCCCGTAACTTCAAGCACTCCCCAATTGTTGTAGGAATTGGTCCACTAATATCATTTTCTGCCAAGTTAAGTTGTTCCAAAGATGACAGGCTTCTAATATTGGATGGAATATTTCCAGAAAGTTGGTTATCATTCAGTATGAGAATGCTCAAAGATGTTAGCCTTCCCAACTCTTGTGGAATCTCACCACTAAAACGATTTGAAGAAAGATCAAGTCGTTGTAACCGAGTAGCCTGCGCTAGCTCAACAGGTATCCTTCCAGTTATGTTGTTGTGAGAGATCTGGAAGCTTGTTAAATTATGGCATTGCCCCCACTTAGGAGAAAGTTCACCATACAGATTGTTATGGCTTAAATCAATGAAATTCAAGTTGGGGTAAACTCCAAATTGTTCACTAATGTTACCTGTAAGTAGGTTTCCATCAAGTCGAAGTCTAAATAAGCTAGTGCAATTTCTCATACTTGGAATTGGACCTGTCAAATGGTTGTTTATTGTTGTAAAGTTTTGGAGAAGTCCCCCAAGGCACAATTTCTCTGGTATATGCCCACTGAAATTGTTATAACTTAATTGTAAAGTTTCCAAAAGAGTGAGATTACTTATTTCTATAGGAATCAAACCTGATAGATCATTGTCAGTAAGGTAAAGCCCCCTAAGATGTGTCAAGTTTCCAATAGAAGTAGGAATTGGACCTGAAAGATTGTTACTTGATAAATCAAGATAACTAAGAGACCCAAGCATTCCTACTTCTTGAGGTACTGAGCCAGAAAGCTTGTTGTGGATAAGATGAAGAAAAGACAAAATTTTCAAATTTCCTATAGAAGTAGGAATTGGTCCTAAGAGATTGTTAAATGATAAATCAAGTTTATTAAGAGACCCAAGCATTCCTACTTCTTGAGGTATTGAGCCGGAAAGATTGTTTTCCCAAAGATTAAGGATAGACAAATTTTTCAAATTTTTTATAGAAGTAGGAATTGGTCCTACAAGATTGTTCCTTGATAAATCAAGTTTACTAAGAGACCTAAGCATTCCTACTTCTTGAGGTATTGAGCCAGAAAGGTTGTTTAGGAAAAGATGAAGCACAAACAAATTTTTCAAATTTCCTATAGAAGTAGGAATTGGTCCTAAAAGATTGTTAAGTGATAAATCAAGTTCATCAAGAGATCCAAGCATTCCTACTTCTTGAGGTATTGAGCCAGAAAGATTGTTTTTCCAAAGATAAAGGATAGACAAATTTTTTAAATTTCCTATAGAAATAGGAATTGGTCCTAAAAGATTGTTCCTTGATAAATCAAGTTTATTGAGAGACATAAGCATTCCTACTTCTTGAGGTATTAAGCCAGAAAGGTTGTTTTTGAAAAGATAAAGAATAAACAAATTTTTCAAATTTCCTATAGAACTAGGAATTGGTCCTAAAAGATGATTACTTGATAAATCAAGTTCGTTAAGAGACTCAAGCATTCCTACTTCTTGAGGTATTAAACCAGAAAGCTCGTTTATGGAAAGATTAAAGATACACAAATTTGTTAAATTTCCTATAGAAATAGGTATTTGACCCGAGAGATTGTTATTCGATAAATCAACGTTTTTGAGAGACTCAAGGATTCCTATTTCTTTAGGAATGGCTCCATTTAACTGATTCCCATAAAGAGAAAGCAAATTGAGACTCGTTAACAATCCTATCTCTGATGGAATATTTCCTGAGAAATCATTGAAATCCAAGTAAAGAACTCTTAGTTGGGACAGCCTGCCTATACTTGAGGGAATTGTCCCATACAATGAATTCTTAGAAAGTTGGAGCTCCATCAAAGTAGGAAAGGCAAGAAAGTTGAGACTGTGAAGCGTACCTTTTAAACCATAACTTGAAAGGTTTAGATTGGTGATGCTTCCAGCCTTGTCACAAGTGATTCCAATCCAATTACAAGGATTGTCCCCAACCCAAGAAGAGAGTGAGGTTTGGCTTTTGTAGTGGAGATTGGCTTTCCATTTTAGAAGAGAGTCAGTTTGATTCACTCTTTGGGAAGAAGTACAGGCATGGAGAGATTGAAGCAGTAGGAGGATGAGGAAGGATGGTGCCATGATATGATTTCACTGGTATAAAGGGTGTTGGAATAAATTCCTCCTATCTACAACGTTGATGAGTATTTATATAGGAAAAAGAGAAACCTCAATACTCTGTTAGCCATTTGATATTCCATCAACCTCGACTTTTTTGTTTTTGTTTTGTCTATTTGGAGTGGGAATGAATTTGAAAAAAGCAAGGTATTATCTTCTCCTATGTGTATAAATAAAAGGTCAAGTAACACATCCTTAACCCAAAATCAAAATTTTGAGATTTGGAAATTAAAATTGCTGATTTTTTCGTAGCCGTTTGAGAGTTTTTCAATATTTAGGGTTTGACAAAGTTTTTGTATAATGTTTCCTAAGAAAGGGTTGGTAGCAACAGCAACTTTGGGATAATGTTTCTCAAGAAGTGGTTGGAATGGTAACAAGAGCTACTTTCAACTACTTTACGGCAACTTAAAAGGGGAAAGTATTTTAGATATTTAATAAAATGTTTATCATTCTCAAATTACCACTTCATAATTTCAGTTATTCTTAACATAATCTTTAAAAATAAATATACTATCAAATTACTACATTAATTTTTAATAGTTTTAGTTTTAGTTTTAGTTTTACTTTTTTAATTTTTAAAATATAAATTTTGAATAAAAATTTAATAATTTATATATATAATAATTAAAATTTTTTTGTCAATATATATAGTTCTTGTTAAATATTTTATTTAATTAAAAAAAATTTCAATTATTATTTACATAGATGATTAAATTTTTATTTAAAATTTGTATTTTAAAATCAAAACGTTAAAATAAATTTATTAAAAATAAATAAAAAAATATTAAATAAACAGATGTTTACAAATACAAGCTCACACCTTCCATTAAGTGAAAAAAAAAATGATATGCACAGCAACCATTATCAACCAAAAAGTATCAAAGGTGAGTCCCATGGATGTCTAAAATATATTGCCCCTTGACATAGCCTTTTTGTATTGGGTTTTTTGTCCTTTTACACAAAAACTACAAAGCCATGTTTATGTTACTGTTCTTCAACAATTCATTTGAGTTTAGAAAGATTCAAGCTCAGTTTTTCAGTCATTTCAGATTTGTGCAGCCAAAACACTTTGGTGATCGCTATTTTTCATCGTGCCATCAAGTCTCTCCAAGCAGCGGAATAAGCCTTGCATGCTCTAAATCGGTCAAGTTTGCCCATGAAGTGCAACAGAAATTCTAATAAATAAAAAGAAATTAGATTAGAAAAGTTTTTATTTGATGAGTTTTAACTTAGAACTAACCTGAGATAATAATAATAATAATAATAATAATAATAATAATAATAATAATAATAATAATAAAAACTTTGATGTTAATAATTTTACCTTACTAACATAAAATAAGACTTTACTTTAGGTTTACCTCTAATTTTCTCTTTTGATTAATGGAAAATAGAACTAATTCTAAGTTTAATTAATGCTTTAAAAAATAAACTTAAACCAATGACTTAATTAAATTTGTAATTTATAATTTTAAAATTTTAATGAAGTCAAAATCTAATAACTAAACACATAAATTTATCGTGTGAAAATAAAAAAAAATAAAAAAAGGTAAATTTAAGGATAACAATTTTAACTAATATTAAAGCACATAGATTCTGTAATCTACTAACCATCCCACATTGACATTTAACCAAACATGAGCGATGTAGTTATAGTTTGTCAAAAAAAAAAAAAGGAAGAAGAAGAGGAAGAAGGATTCTATCAATATGCTGCATTTTATTGTGGGTCTCATATATACAGTCATATAATGGGATAAACTGCAATTATTTCTACTGATGGAAAAGGTTTCATTTATTGCTATCTTTCACATTCAATCAAGTCTGTTCTTTTTCTGTTTCCTCCTCATCCGATGGTACACAACCTGCACGCAATAACTTTTAATTGGGCCTCTCAACTGTCATTAAGGTACACAATTTGCATGCAATAATTTCTGATAGGGGCTTTCACCTATGACTAGGATAGATATTTTTTTTTTTATATTTAACTTCAAAATATATTATGTATTTTATTTGAGGCCTCATAAATAATCATATAATAAGATAAAGTGCAATTATTTCTACTAGTGGAAAAGCATTTATTTTTTACTATCTTTCACATTCTATCCAGTTTGTCATTTTTCTGCGTCAAGCTTGAGATTCAATGATTCGTCATTAAATTTTAGGGTTTGAGTGAGGTGGAGGTCAGGATTTCAAATTTTATTACCGTCGTAAATTTTATTAACTTGCGATTTAATGATCGTGCGCTTTATTTAAGAGAGTAAAATGTTCACCTTTCTGAAAATCTCAATTACTAACAATTAATTCATATAAACTTTTTAATCATTACCTTTATAAAAAAAAAAAAAAAAGAGTTTGTCATTTTTTTATTTCGTCCTCATCCAATGGCAGCTTGTTCAGTTGTTCTAATGGGGCCGCACACGTATCACTGGGATAGATTTCTTTTTACTAACCTCCAAATATATATTGTATTTTATTTTAAACCTCATTAATAATCATACAATGAGATAAACTGCAATTATTTCTACCAGTAGAAAAGGATTCATTTTTTGCTATCTTTCACATTCTATCAAGTTTGTCATTTTTCTATTTCGTCCTCATCCAATGGCAGCTTGTTCTAATGGGGCCTCACACGTATACTAGGATAGATTTTTTTTATACTAACCTCCAAATATATATTATATTTTATTTTAAGCCTCATTAATAATCATACAATGAGATAAACTGCAATTATTTCTGCCAGTAGTAAAGTATTCATTTTTTTGCTGTCTTTCACATTCTATCAAGTTTGTCATTTTTCTATTTCGTCCTCATCCCATGTCAGCTTGTTCTAATGAGGCCTCTCACCTATCACTAGAGTAGATTTTTTTTTTATTAACTTCTAAATATATACTATATATTATTTTAGACCTCATTAATTGTCACACAATGAGATAAACTGCAATTATTTCTGCTAGCAGAAAAAAATTCATTTTTTGCTATATTTCACATTCTATCAAGTTTGTCATTTTTCTATTTCGTCCTCATCTAATTGCAGCTTGTTCTAATGGGGCCTCTCATCTATCACTAGGGTACATAACTTGCATACAATAATTTCCAATGGGGTCTCTCACTTGTCACCGGGGCAGATTTTTCTTTACCAATCGGCTGGTGCCTGGAAGTACAGCTGACAAATACGCAGGTTCGTTGGGTTCAGATTGGGTTTCTTCAGGTCATAGGTTTTATGTATTGGATCATATATAAATTGTAAATAAATAGATGTTGACTCTAACTCAGATCTTAACTCAACCTTAATTCAACTTTAATGGGTCATGAATTGATCCATAGGTTAAACTTTATTTTTTTATATAAATAGTCATATTTTTTATATTGATTTATCAAAATTAAATAATAATAATTTTGAATTAAATATTATAAAATAAGTATATTTTTAAATCTCAATTATTATATTTGTTTCTATTTTTTAAAAAATTATTATTGTTTAGAGTACAAGTGACCCTTCAACACTTACATAAATTCATAAATTCATAATTAATATGACACAATCTAATATAAATTATTTGTTAAACAAACAAGAATTGTCATTGTAAATTGAGAATTGGCATCAATCATAAAAAGAAAATGATGCACCTTAAAGTCTATCTTTTAGCCAAACCAAAAACCTTACTTAAAAACCAAAAAAATATATTCATTTAAGTTATTTATTTTAAAATACATTAGATAAATATATTCATTAGATTCATTATAAATATATTTTTCCACTAATGAATATATTTTTTTACCTACCTTTTGAGAAAATAGTGTATCATAATTTAGTTTTCTAGATTATAATATCAGAATAGATTTCATTAAAATTATATTTTTAAGTTAATTTACTTTAAAAGAATACCTAATAAAATTTTTAAAAAAAATTTTAAATACAAATCCATCATATGAGTTAACTCATAAATCTACAGGTTAACTCGTGTATAACTCGTGACCCATTCGGATTGACTCAAAAAGGTCACAAGTCTAATAGTAGTTGATCCTAAACTGCTTTTGATGGATTGAGACGAGGTCAGGTTCGAGTTTGCCACCGCTATTAAAAGTTATATTGGGTTTTAACTAATTTAAAATTTAATTAAATCAAA